AGGGCAACACGGATTTAGGGCCCAGGTGAAAGCCTGCTCTGCTCCCCACCCCACAAAGGCCCTGGGGACTCTTTGCTGACGGGGTAATCCCCGCTGCAGGAGAAGGGTTGACCTCCACTGCTCCCTGCAATCAATCCTCCACCTTGCTGGGTTGCCATCTCCTGACTCTCTGGTCTTCTCCTTTAGGATCTGGGGCCTTTCCTTCCCGCTGCTCTTCCTCCGGAATTCTCCAGGGGGTTCCCATCTTCTCCACCCGCCGCCGTGTCCCCCAGGCCTGGGCTGTGACAGTGCTGTGTCCCCTGAGCTGGGCACCTTGGCTGCCCGTGTCCTCTGGGCACTCAAGGCTGGGACCAAGAGGAGCATCTGCTCTCAGGTGGGTGAGGTGACTCAGAGCCCACGGCCAGGGCACACGTTGCCTCAGTCTGCACTGGCCTGAGAGGGAAAGCTGACACTCAAGGCTCTGCAAGGCTCCAGGAGCCCAGTGCCAACCCCTGGGAGCCATCCCTGGCTTGGGGAGGGTCTGGTGTCCCTGCTGGGATGGAAGCTGAAGGCAGGGGAAGGGTTTGTGCATGGAATCAACCTCTCCAGGATCCAGCTGAATTGAGACAGAGACACTTCTCAGGTTTGTGGGACGGTGTAGAAAACCCCAAAGGTGTAAAGGCAGGAGTCCAGGGAGAGCACCAGCTCCGTTAGGGTGAGAATCAGGGAATCACAGAAGGGCCGGAGAGGGAAGGGACCCACAAGGATCCTGGGAGAGATGGAAAGCTTTACTGAAATCTAGAAAGCTTCCATCAACTGGATTCCCTTGATGGGTTATTGTGGAAAAAAAGGATATTCGGTTTGACGAGCTGCAAATACCCCTCAGGACCCCGTGCTGGCTGTGACCAGTGAATGCCTTGTCCTTCAGGGGCTTTTCAATAACTCCCAGAACAACCTTCTCCACAATTTTAGCAGGCACTGAAGGGACACTGCCAGGCCTGTAGTTCCCAGGGTCATCCTTCCTGCCCATCTTGAAAACTGGGACAATGTTCCCCAGCTCCCAGCGCTGCCTCTGTGTGCTGGGAGCACCAGCTGGAGCAGCCGGCGAGCGGGAGAGCCCTGTGCTGGGAAGAGGGTGCAGGATGCAGGCAGGGGGGTGGGACGGGCACAGGGGCTGTGCCAGTGCCCCAGGGATCCAGCAATGCTCTCGGCTCTCTGCACTTATGGATTCAGGAGTCCTGTTGGGAGGACCTGGGCGATGCTGAAGGCAGCACCTTCTCCATGGCAGGTTGTGTGGCCAAGTCCCTGTGTGTGTGTGTGTGTGTGTTGTCTCTGGGAGGCACACTCAGCTTCAGGGCTGATACTACAGCAGGCACATCCATTGCCCGGGAAGGAGACCCTGGGCCTTGTGGCATCCCAGCCTGGGCTCCAGCAGCCACGTGGGAGCATCCCCAGGGCCGGAGCTGCTGCAGAGCCTCTTAGAGGAGACTGGGGCCCCTCACAACAAACCTTAGGGAAAGTCTCCTTTCTTCCCCCACAGCCATGGCTTCACAGGAGGACACCCCAGAGGGGCATGGAGAGGCACAGCTCCTGGCAGAGGCACTTCAGAAGGAAGGACTGGAGG